AGCATAGCGCGTACGGCTAAATTTGCGTGCTAGGCTCCGCAAGCTTAATTTTCTTCCGCCGGTGCGTAACACTGCACAGCACGCAGCTGCACGTGCCGACCCGCAGGTGACGGCACAGCGGCGGCTGCATGACACTGCACAGTGTACACGTTTTGACATACACGCCGTACGCGTCGTATGCGCTATGCCGTACGCGCTATGCTGTGCCGTACGCCCTTAAGCGCCGTGCAACGCACGCAGCGACGGAGCTACGGCCCTCTCGCGCGAACAGCGCGCTCTAGTCCGTCCGTCCGTCTCTCTATCTGTCCACCACGTCGCCGGTTCAATCCCCAGCACGCGCGCGTCTTTTCTTTTGCGCGCTTTTTTTTTCTTTTTTTTTCTTCGTATGCTTCATATGCTCTATATGCTTCATATGCTTCGTATGCTTCGTGTGCTTCATATGCTTCATATGCACATATGCATCTTATGCGATATGCGATATGCAGCGCTAGCAGATCGCAAACTTCAACGTGCAGACTTCAACACACGCCCTTCACCATACGTGCACACGCACATATGCTTCGTATGCTTCGTGTGCTTCGGACGCGCGCGGAGTGACTGCCGTACGCGCTTCATACAGCGCCGTTCTTCGCTTGTAAGCTTTGACGATGCTCGCAATTCACCTTGCCACTGTGCCGAAATACTTTCGAGCTTTTTGCTCTTTCTTTTCGCTTCTTTCGCGCGCTTCAATTCCGCGTCGGAATTGATGCCGTACGCGCTTCATACAGCGCCGTTCTTCGCTTGTAAGCTTTGACGATGCTCGCAATTCACCTTGCCACTGTGCCGAAATACTTTCGAGCTTTTTGCTCTTTCTTTTCGCTTCTTTCGCGCGCTTCAATTCCGCGTCGGAATTGATGCCGTACGCGCTTCATACAGCGCCGTTCTTCGCTTGTAAGCTTTGACGATGCTCGCAATTCACCTTGCCACTGTGCCGAAATACTTTCGAGCTTTTTGCTCTTTCTTTTCGCTTCTTTCGCGCGCTTCAATTCCGCGTCGGAATTGATGCCGTACGCGCTTCATACAGCGCCGTTCTTCG